TCAGTTTTCAAGAGGCGCTTTTCAAGATTTTCGCATTTTTTTTTAAGTCCTCACTAGTTGGGTTAGAAGAATTAGCAGAAACCTGAGATGATGATTCCTGCTTCTCTTTTGGCGGATTTTTAGCTACTGGGGCCTTGCTATAAGTTGGAATAACATAGGTCTTTCCATGTAACTTTATGCGGAACTGGTTTTTATTTGGCTCAAGAACACCTTGGAGCTTTCGAATATTTGACATGCCTAAAAATAGCATTGGTTCAGGTTCGCCATTATCTATACGTACAAAATTTCCAATGACTGTGACCGTCTTACCCTCTCTGTCCTTCATAGTAACTGGCACATCTGTATACCATCCTAACGAATCGGTAATATGCTTGGAATTGCCCTTTATAGCAAAATCAGATGGCTTATCAGCCTTCCATTTAAGCGCCTTAATTGCCAGGTCATTTATAGCACCAAATTCACTTCCGGGATCTAAAAAAGTTTCGGAAATTGCTAAATCATTTATATTTGCATTCAGATATTGTAGAGATGAAAACCACTCATCTGATTCATTTTCTGGAGCCCTTCGGGACAAGCACATTTTACGCATTGCTGGTGAAAGCTTTGGCATTAGCTCATTATATGTTTCAGGCTGGCTGGATTCTGGAGACAACTTTTTATTTACTAATATCTGTTTTTTTTTACCGATTGATCATATCCAGTCCATCTATTATTTTCTTCATCGTAACTACTATTATTATCATCACTATCGTCATCTGAAGCTGGAGGCGTGTATTGGGATTGTGTAGATAGAAGTTGGGGGTAGTAATGTGTAAAATTTGATTTAGCTATAGGATTTAAACTGGGGCAATTATTTTTCTTATGCCCTTCCTGTCCGCAATTACTGCAATAGAAAGGCTTTTGAGATTGATCATTAAGTGATATTCTTCCTAATTGATTGGTTAATTGTCATACAGAATCTGCAACACTACCCACGGTATCTGCAACTTTACCCATTATAGATTCTAATCTATCAATTCTTGCTGAACGTAATTTATCTGGTTTATGTAGTACAGGAGGCCCATCAAAGGGATTATCACTTTCATATGAATAACGTAATTGCTCTATATTTTTAGGAGGAATTGGTGGAGGAGTTTTCTTGCTTTGTTGTGCCATCTGTGCTTGAAATTCGGCTTTCTGCTTTTCCAATAAAGACTGGTATTCAGTTTTTGCTGTACTAATGCATCTTGCATTGCTTTCTGAAAATTGGCTAAAGAAATTCCTTGCTATTGGGGCATGACATTGGAAATAGCAGGAGGGACTGGTGTATAACTAAGATATGATGGTGGTGGACCTAATACCCCACGACGTAATTCAAGTTCTGCTAGACTGTCAAGAATATCATTAATAGGCCTGTGTTGACCAATCCTATAGATTTCCTCCTTTATATCATCTCTTACTCCAGACATAAATTGTGTTTTCTTTTGCGCTGGAGTATAACCTAATTGATCTCCATACTTTAGAATTTTCGCCCAATATGAGGATACACTTTCATGTCCTCCTTGTTTTAATGCCCCAATTTCAAACATTCTCAAATATCTATCAGTAGACGGGAAATGCTTTTTAATTCGAAACAACCTTTGTCCAGACCGGATTCCTGCAAGAATAATAGGAATGCCTCCTCCAGCATTTGGTGCAACTGGTACTGCATTGGTTGGTCGCCCTCCAGCTACTGTCCAATCTTCATCAAGTCCTCGGGCTGGAATAATGTCTGCACCTATAAGTTCAAGTGGAACATTTGGGAAAGAAGTAACTGTACCTGTTATAGCTACAGCATTGGCACCTCGAATATGTGCTATTGTTGCACCTATAGCAGAGTTATCAAGTACGTTTTGTAACTCCCAGTTTTTGTTATCAAACTCTCTATTATACCACTCTCGCACTTCTCTCTTTACTGATCGATCTAATATATTGCGAATTCTTTGCTCATTATTTATATTTACTAAATTGATATATGCTATAAAGTCATCTATATACTTTTCATAATCCTGTTCAAAGCTGTTTAATTCAGGCATTATAAACCCTGCAGGTAAAGCCATGTTTATTTGATTTGGTAGATTATTATGAAGTGCCAAAATTTGTTGATTTAAATTTAAATTATTTTGGCGCTCTGCATGAGTCTTATTTTTCCATTTGGTGTATTGATTATTTGTAAGATTTAGAAGATGTGTAGTAATTGCTCCATCTGTTCTACAATCTTGTAAAAAGAGGATATTTCACTGATACAATAACTGGAAGGCAAAATTTTTACATAGCAATTCACTGATGCGGGTTTGTTTTCTTGCCATATTATCTATCATTCTATTCACTTGGTTTTGTGCATTAGTCCGTAATTGATGAAGATCAAGCAATGCCTGATCTCGCTCTTGCCTGTATGTATCTCGGTGCCACCGTTCATTTACCAGATCTTGTTGCAGGTTAGTATATTTTCGACGTATCTGTCTTGTTGATCTTTTAATTTGATTTGTTAAAATCGTTCTACATATTGTTGTATTATCTAGGGATCGGTCTATAGCATCGGCCAATTCAGCTATTGTACCCATATTATCATCAGAATTATACAAGTCTAGAGAATTTTCATCAGAATCAGATTCGTTTTCGCCAAAATTCCATGCCTGTGCATTTTGTAAAGCCTCTTGTGTATTTTTAAGTTCTAATCTATCTCGATATCTTAATAATGCTAATACAAAATTTTGACAAAGCAGGTCTGTAATACGATTTTTTTGCTGATTTATTTTATTAATCCTGTTTATTTGATTAACTCTTATTGTATTTATTTCTCGTTTAAAGCGTTCGTTTTCGTCTACTAATCTGGTTGTATAATCTTATGCTTTAGGCGTATTTTTAGCCGATTTAGATATCTCTCGTATTCGGGTTTTTAATTTTGTTTCGCGTTCATCGAATTCTGATATTAATCTATCTTTATTAGAAATTTCTTTGTCTTTCCTTTTATTTTCTTCCTCGAGTTGGTGAACGATTCTTTTTAATTTTGAAATTTCTTCTATTAATTCTTCTTTCTCTTGTGTAGAGACTTCGATAGCATTATTTAACTCTTCAAGAAATCGTATTTTCTCTTCCTATATTCCAATAATTCTTTCTAAGGTATATAAACGTTGTTCGAAATTCCTATTTGATTCTGCTAATTGAGATACTACTTCATGGAGTTCTTGATTACTTTGCTGTAATTCCTCCATGTTTTTTTACTATAGTATAATGGAAAAACCTTTGATTTATATCGATCCACAAAAAGCCTATGAACTCGATCAAGAAATCGCTAAGAGTAAAAAAGTTAAAGATCGAAATGTGACATTACAAAAACCTACGATTCTTATTGATTCCCAAAAAGCATGTGATCTTGACCGAAATCTTGCCTTACAGAAGCTGTATTATCAACCCGAGGGTCTCTATCAAAATGTTAAGGGATTGTGGGACGCTTGTAAGAAAGCTGGCTACAACTTTCTATTTAATGATATAAAAAAATGGCTTGATGGCCAAGCAATGTATCAAATTTTTCGTCCTTCACCAAAGAATATACCTTATGCCAGTTACTCTAAAATTACAAAACTGAATTTTGTACACTAGTGTGATTTAATTGAAATACCATATAATGAAGATGTAGATACAGGTTTGTTGGATAATGGCCCAATATTTTACTATGTACTATTGGTTATAGACTGTGCGACTAGATATAAAGATTTTATTTTTTTAACATCAAAAAGTAGTGAAGAAGTCGCAAAAGCATTTAAGAGTATATATAATAATCCTGACAATCCTCTTAACTGGGCTCGGCTATTGCAATGTGACGAAGGTTGTGAGTTCATGGGAAGCGTGACATTAATAATAGATGAACACAATGTTAACATCCGAAGAACTAAAGCACGTTTCAGACATACAAGCTTGGCTATGGTTGATTGTTATACCGGATTATTCGAATTAAGAGTTTTTAAAAATCAATATGTGATAGAGTTTCTCTTACCTACTGGCGAACACTGTAAAGAATACGAACGATTTGCAAGAAGAATTGTTAATAACATGAATGATACTTCTACTCAGTTAATTGGAATGAGTCCCAATGACACCACAAAACTTGAGCGAGTGTATTCCAAACTATCGGTAAAATATAATCGTCCAATAGGTGTTGATGAACCACGACTATCAAAGAGTACTACTATCTGATTTTTGCTTGCTCCTGGAGAATGGGAAAATGATCTTTTCAAACAACGCAGAATCACAGATCCAATATGGTCTCCCAGCCTACATAAAATCTGAAGAATTGTTGTTGGAAAAAATCCTCTCATGCCCATTTTATATTATTTAGATGAATCAGGACCTCGGCGTCCCTTTGTAAGAGAACAATTAATGCATATTAAAGAAGTGTCTCCTAGGTGGATATTGAGAGATAACCGAATGCATATAAGGCGCTCTTTATAAATATTTTTAAGTCTACTACGCAGTAGGGTATAGTAATGAGAATTACTCCTTCCTTGTAGCATAACGCCCTCTTTTCCCAATCATAACAAATTTGTGCATCTAGATTTATCTGCCCTTGCGAGTGAAAAAAAGGCACGATTTGATAATGCTGATTACCACTATATTCGAAGGCCAAGCCTAGCTCCTCATTATACCCATCTAGATGTAATCCTTTTAAGAATTTAGGTTTTCGAAGAGAAAATTTTTTATGTGATAAATCCTCAAATATATACCGGCATGTTCTTTCTGGTATATTAGGGCAAATATTACACTATCGGTAATTCTGTTTCATATTTTTATATGACGCCTTCCATTGATGTTTTTTCTTATATGCCTATAAATATGTATTAGGACTAACTTTAGCTAAGCATCTTCCTTCACGCTTTTGGGCATATGCCAAAGCTTTAGTGTTAATTTCATTTTGCATTTTATAGATACAATAGAATATTATGTACAGAAATTTGCGAAATAGGCGCGTCTTAGAAAAATGCCAAATTTAACTCGGCTACTACTCTCAATGATCCTCTGCTCAAGTATACATCTTTTTTTTTTTCGACTCCAATATATAGAGGCTGGTCACAAAACTAGAAATAAAATTGAAGTTAGCCGGTATTATTGCATGAGAAAAAAAATAAAATAAAATATACCGTATTCCTCTGAAAATAAGCATCCCCCGAAAGTAAGCACCTCCTACAATTCATATATACCCGAAAATAAGCACCTTTTATATAATGGAAATAAGTAACTAAATATCAAATCATTTAAATTATTAGTTG